TGAACAGGGGCAAGCATAAGAAAACCCAAGCTTTTCATGAGAAAACATTAAATTGTAGAGAGTCAAAAGGTTTAGCAGAGGGGTTTGTTTTGATTACACATAATACTTCATGATCTAGACATAAAAGTACTCTATACACTGAAAAGACAAAATGCCCTGAAAGACAGTTATTGCTCTTAAATCATGCTCTAGTTTTTAGCTGTTAACTTTATTTATTTACACATATAACTGCAACAATAGCAACATTCTATGCCCACTGAGTCCTCAATCTTTATGGCCTATTTCAGGATCCCCTCCACTGACGGATTTTTTTTCATGCTTTGTACTTCTGCAATTCTTGCATAATCTTGAAGCCACCTTACTGTTCCTGCACTGCTTACTAATTGTACTAGGAGAATCGAATTTACCATTAATATATATAATATAATTTTATTAACAATATTACTAATGTTTAAGGAACATTATTATAAGTCAAACAAAGAATCAAAAAATCCCCAACCCAAAAACCCTAGGCAAGCTTATAGTTGAAATGCTGACTGCAGCAGAGGGAAAAAAGAGATGAAGGAAAAAGAAGAACAAGACAAGAGGGGATAAATAAATATAAATGCTATTCTAAGTGTATTTTGAGTTGTGGGACAAAGACTGAGATATTAAGGCAAATGTTTCACAAAAAAGATTCTCTTTTTTAGGAAGACAGAACAAAAATGGTTTAAGTTCTGTGCTAACCTTATATTTACTTATAGAGAGTACAACACTTTTATATGCAGCCATTATTCCTTACTTACCTTCACATTCACTTCCCCAACCTAGTGCCCTCCAGATGTTATGAGAACACAGCTCCCAGATTTCTCACTGGGAATTGCTATGAATTTGCCCCAGTTGCAAGATTCTGAGCAGTATAAAATAACCATAAAAACAAAACTCCACACTGTATTACCCACCCCACATTTAAGCAATCTATCCATTGTATATACAAAAAAAAAAAGGGCAATCAACATAAACAACTAGGTTTTAGTTTTGAAGGTTGGGTGAAAAAGAAAGGCTTTGAGATTATTCCTGAAATCCAGGAGCAAGTGTCCAAACAAATCCATAGCATGGGGCACAATCAAGAAAGCATGGATTCTAGTCTGCACACTTTTTGTCTATTAATGGAGTAAAACTCTCAGTAACCTCTCTTTAGATGACTTGACAGGATGGGCAGATTCATTCTGAATAAGGCAATCCCTGTTAAAGGTAGTCCTCAAGTTACAACCATTCGTTCAGTGACTGTTCGAAGTTACAATGGCACTGAACAAAGGGACTTATGGTTCCAGCCATTGCAGCGCCCCTACATTCATGTGAACAAAATTCAGGCACTTGGCAACCAGTTTGTACTTACGACTAGTTGCAGCATCTTGCAGTCACGTGATCATCATTGCTGACCATCTCTGCCAGCTTCCCACAAGCAAAGTCAATGGGGAAGCCAGCAGAGAAGGTCACAAGTTGCTCTGGTAAGTCTCCCTCACCCCCCACCCCCAGCCTTTCTTTGCTCGCATGCATCACGCCTCCTTCCTCCCTTCACTTGCTCACGTACACTGTGTGCTCTTTCCCCAGCCTCCCTGTGCTCACGCACATGCACATACCCACCGGCACCCTCCTTCCCTGGGCTTCCCTGAGCTTCCCTGCACTCACACACATGCAGCACCTACCAGCACCCTTCTTCCCCAGCCTCCTGTGCTTGCACACATGTACATACCCCGTGCTCTCTTTCCCAGGCCTCCCTGTGCTCGCTAGTTGCGAAGCACTTGAATCTTGATCACGTGATCATGGGGACACTGTGATGGTTGTAAGTGTGTGGACCAGTCATAAAGTTACTTTTTCAGTGCTGTTGTATCTTTGAACGGTCACTAACAGGACAGTTGTTAAGTGAGGACTACCTGTATAGGACTTTATAAGTGATAACCAGTACTATTGAATTGGGCCTGGAAGCCTATTGGTAGTCAATATAGCAACTATAAAATAGATGTTATTCTACAATAGTGGGCCATCCTGATACCAGCTGGGCTGCTGCGTTCTGCTCTGAGTCATCCTCAAACTCAGCCCTATATAGAGTGTATTGCAAGAGTCCAGCTGCATGGTGATAAGGGCATTAGTATTGCTGCCATGGACCTACTCTGACCAAAGACTATCTGGTCTCATTAAAAAGCATTTTCCTGAACCTGATACCTTCCAGATGTGTTGGATTTAAAATCCAAAAATTCTCAACCAGTCTAGCTATTGATACATTGGCTGGGAAATCCAGAGAATGCTTCATTAAATCTAGAGGATATCAGGTTGAGAAAACCTTCTTTGTACCCCAGGTTCTTTTGTGTCCCACCTAAAACCCAGTTTGCTTAAGATTCCAGGTATCCAAACCCCAGCCCTGTTTCTCCTCCACGCTAGTCCTCATAATGAAGCTATTTCCCTGGTTCCTAGCTGTGGATGCCTCCTAATTTAGCCTTGCTACCCTCTGAATGAAGCTCAACAGAATCTACTGTTTTACAGCCTGGAGTTAAAATGTTGCAAGGAGTTTGGGAAAATGAACACTGCGTACTGCTCATTTACATACTTTCGGCATATGTGAAATATGATGTGGAAAAATGAGAGAGCGCTGAAGGAGGCGAGAAGGAAAAGGAAAGAAAGAATTGTATAGGTATGGCACTAAAGGGAATTTTGCATGAAATAATACCAAAGGTTAAAAATACCTCTGTGGCAAATAAGCTGTATGCTGTGTTTTTTAACTTTTCTGACATCCAGCATGATCTCAACATGCCTTTCAATTTAAGGAGCTATTACAAAATGTGGTAATAGCCAAAGAGTTAAACAATTTCATCAGTTTTTTAAAACATATCATGGAACAAAACACTGCAGTCTATCTATAACTGGTATGAAATAAATATACTAAATAATAACACTGCTGAAAAATGCTTTGGGGTGTTCTTTCTGCAGTTGAAACTAAAAGCAAATGATAAGTGTATACCGCCCTCTGGTGGCCTAAAAGAATTATTCTAAATTACACTATTACAGACTTTTTTCTAAACCATCAGCAGACTGAAAATTGGTCCTGTAAATGTCAGTTTTTTCAAGTTCACCTCTCTCATGGATGAAACATTCCATTGTTTTTCAAAGCTTCTTTCCACAGATTGACTTTCATATTATTCTAGGCACATGGACACCGTGGGCGCAAGCTTTGTGACAGCACCTTCATGAGTTTACCATAGCATTTCCTCAGGTTATACTCTTTACTTTTTTGGTATAAACAAATATTCACTCAAGAATCAGTCTTGAGATGATTCTTATGTGCAATTTTTGTGTAATATATAAATAATCTTGAAGCTATCACTCCGGAGAAGAGCACAAGGGTTTTTAATATATTGTAAAGGACCATATGAAGGCCAGACCATTTCCCACCTGACCACGCCCCAGTTGATAGGATAAGTTATTTCACTTCAAATTTTAAGATCTATTTAACAATGGATTTCATTATATTAAACTTACTTCAGTGTTACAGAAATACACCTATTGAGATTTTGGACAATAAGAAAATTTATTTAAAAATATGTTCATTCTAAACACAGTTAAATAAATAAAGTTCTTAAACTGGGTCCCATTTGATCATAATAATCATTGCACAATACATTTTCTAAACACAGTTAAATAAATAAAGTTCTTAAACTGGGTCCCATTTGATCATAATAATCATTGCACAATACATTTTCTGTATTACTGTCATGATATAAGAATGCAGCCGCAATTTTCTCAATGAATTAAATATTGACAGAGAAGTGTATGCTGAGGATGAAAGGCATATCGTCAAAGACCTCCAGGCTCTCAAACTTTTAGTACAGTCCAAACTTGTTTTTCTTATGTATTTGTTAAAAGAAATTTGAGGAAAATTAGGAAAAACATTATATTTATATTGAAGCCCTGGCCTTTCCACTTCTTTGGCCCCAATTTCTTTTTGAAATGGAGCCAGCCTGCCACTTAAGAATTAACTGCAGCCTTAGTTAAAAAAAAAAAAAACACACACACACACAC